TCTCTCTCTCTCTCTCTCTCTCTCTCTCTCTCTCTCTCTCTCTCTCTCTCTCTCAGCTACAACCCCTCAGCTATTCTTAGCTCTGGAGTTAAAGGGCTCTGTTAACTTCGGGGTCTTTCCACCAATGTGTCTGTGAGGAGTTAGCAAGGAATAAATAGGCAGTTGGGGAAGAGGCTGGAGGGAAAGAGATAACATTCCCATACAGCAGCTAGACTATGACCAGAGCTGACAGCACCCCACCCTCCCTTTGCAGCTTGGGTGCCTCCTTACTCACTGTGGTTATCTTCCTGGACCAAGGACAGTACAAAGGAGGGGGTGATGAAATGGGAGAGAGGAAGAGGGAAGTGGGAAAGAAAGAGGGGTCACAAGAGAGGAGAGTTGAGGGCCCTGTAAAAGATTAGTCCAGACCACAGGTCACTGGTCTGCCAGTTCTGGGGATCCCACTTGCTGATGGGGTGCTTCTGGCTTCAGTAAATGCCTGCTTGTCACCCCCTTCTGGGTCCTTACTTCCTTTGTCTCTGAGTGCTCAATTATTTCTTTGTTCAAAAAAGAACCCCAACTCCTGGGCAGCCAGCCCACTCCATGTTACTGTATTCCTGTTTCTAATTTCCTTATTTGTTCCAATCAGTGGCCCCACCTATGGAACCTGACAGTCTTCTCAAGTCTCAGGGTGGTCTGTGTTGCCATCTGTGTGGGAATGACATGACCACACGGGTGGGAAGCTGGTGCTCTGCTTCCTTGCCCAGGACTGGCTCAATCCCTGGTTCTGAGTTTGAAGCATTGAGTGTTGCTTTGAAGAAATCTGAGAAGAACCAATCTCCTTCTCTGTCTAATGTCTTATAAGTTGCTATTTTATTCTCTTTTCTGTCCATGTAATCAAATGCCTAAGGCTGGGAAATGTAAGACTTATTTAGTTGTTTGCTTTGAGACAACCTGACCTCACATTCATTGTCTCTCTGCCTCAGTCCAAGAGCTGGGTTTATTGGGGTACACATCTATGCCCCATGAGAACTGTGTCTTCTTATATTTTTGGAGACTGAAAGTCCCACTGGTCCAGCCTCTGACAAAGACCTCAAGATATCACAAGAGTGGCAGTGTGTTCCCAAGAGAGGCAGAGACAGGATCCCAGAGACATGTTTGAAGCAAGGTTTGCCCTTTCTATAATACTCTGCTTTCACAAGAACTAACCAAAGTCCTAGGAGACCTGCATTAATCCCTTCTGGTGTCTGCTTCCTAATGACCTATCTACTCCTCACTAGGCCTCACACCTACAAGGCTGCATCAAGTCAATACCACACTGAGTGAGGACTGAACTCCCAGCACAAGAGCCTCAGAGTACGTACAAGTGACACCAGAGCCGCGGCACATGTGACAGCTGGCACAGCTTTCTCTACACACATCTGACCAGCTACTGTTTCGCTCTCCTGCAGTTAGACACAACAAGGGCAGGGATAAGCCACAACCTCTTAGCTGTTCTCAAGGTTTGAGTGAGATGAACAGGCTGGGATTTCCAGACGAGGATGTGGGGAGCATCTGGCTTGATCATGACCCCTCACACTTCTGTTTTCCATGAGAGCTGCTGACTCCGAGCTATACTTCAGGCAATGCTTCTCTTTTTATTCCTTTCTCCTTTCTCCTTTTTATCATAGGGTGGATAACTAGAAAAGGGAGGGTGTTTCTCCTGATGCTTTAGAACAAACTTACTGCTCTTATCCCAGAATTTAGTGTCACGTGTTTTTAGTATAGGATCTACACTGCACCTTTTACTCTCTTCCTCTCTCTCCATATATGCATGCATGTATGTGTGCATGCACATGTACATGTACACGCACATGTGTACAGATGTATGTGTGCCTTGGCGTGAGTGAGGAGGTCATAGGCAACTTTGGGGATGTGTCTCTCACCTTCACCCTTGTTTTGAGGCAGAGTTTCTCATGTATCTGCTGTAGGGTGAGGCAGTGGAATCTCACTGGCAGATGAACTATGGGGGAGCTCTCTGCACTGCTTGCAGGCTGCTGGACAGTCTGACATCTATCTCCTCTGCAATCCCAACACTCGGAGTTTCCTCCTTCAACAACTGTTCCTTTTTGTGCTACTAGGGAGGAGCCGTGAGACTCTTCCAGGTTTCGGTTCTCCTCACACGTAACCTTTCCTTTCTTCCCTGGGGCTCATAAGCCTCTTCTCCCCTGCTCTCTGGCCATAGCACACCATTGCTCGTATTTCTCCTTCACCTTCGCCTCTGCATCATCTTTTTCCATCTGGGCATCATTCCCGTTGTGTACCAGAAAGATAAAACAAAACAAAACAGGAACTGAAGGATATGACTCACAAACAAATGGCTTGCTAGAAAGAGAAAATCTTTGTGGAGCATTGGAGAGGTGGCTTAGAGATTAAGAGCACTGGCTTCTCTTCAGAGGGCCTGGGTTCAGTTCCCAGCAAGCATCTGGAGCTTACAACTTTCAGTAACTCCAGTTTCAAGGGTTCTGACGCCCTTTTCTGGCCTCTATAGGCACTGCATACATGTGATGCACAGAAAAACAGGCCAAGCACCTGTACACATAAAACGAGAAAAAAAAATGGTCACGAGCAGGGAATTTGCAAAGGGAGAGAAACAAGATGACACTGAGTGATTGTGTTCATTCTTAGTTTTACAAGAAGCTGTGCTACATTTTTGTAATGCACACTGAATGAACTCCTGCTTAGATATTGCTTTAAAATATTGACCCTGTGCGTGTGTGTGTGTGTGTGTGTGTGTGCGCGCGCGCGCGCACATTTATGCAGAGGTCAACACTGGGTGCCTTCCTTGATGGTTCTTCACCCTAGTTTTGGTTCCACTGATGTGAGCTCAGGTCCTTACGATTTGATTGTGAGCACATTATCTAGGAAGCAATCCCTCCAACCCTTACAGAAGGATATTAAAATTAGGTTTTATGGTTGCTGTTACCTGTTAATTCTGGAGAAGGGGAACATAGATATTCATTTTATAAATTACACTCTTCATAAGGTGTTGATAATCCTTCCGGGCAAGAATAAGACACTGCCACAACTTTTTAGTCAAATTTGAAGCAGTTGGCCAGGATGATGGACACCAGCTAGATCCATACCTGGAATTCCCAGAGAATGGACACAGACTATGTTAGTCAGGTACTTATAAAGGCAAAACCCACAAGGCTATGTACTTCTCATCTTCAGCCAATCGGAGGCTGTGAGCATCCTGACGTACTTCCTGCCCTGTCTCTTCTGTGTGATCAAGCACATCCTGTGCAGTTGAGGCAACCAACCTTGTTTACAAAAATGAAACAGAGGACTTGTTATCTTACATGAACAATGGTCCCCAGCATTTCAGGAAGTTATCTGTCCTTGGGCAAGTGGGGCTTACAAGTTAGAGGAATTTTGTTTAACAAATTTCTTAAACATAGTAATTAAAACTTAAAACATAATGTTAGCCCTCACACTATTTCAACATGTTTGTTTGGAGTCAGATGGATGATTCCATAGTCTGAGTTTGATCCCTGGGCTCTGCATGGTGGGAGGAGAGAGCCAACTCTCCAAAGTTGTCCTCGACACCCATGCAGTAGCATGTCCACCCTTGCATTCATAGGCACATACACACACTTACATACACATATACATACATATACATGCACATACATACATGCACACACATACACACCCACACACAGATACATGTACACACACATACACACACACATACAAACACACACAGATATATATACACACACATACAAACACACACATACACATACATTCAAACACACACATACACACACACATATACAGATACACACATATGCACACACACATACATACATACAAACATACACACACATACAGACACACATGCACACATACATACACACACATATATACACATACCATATACATACATACACACACAGATACACACACATACATATTCACACATACATACACACATACTAATAGAAGGAATTTTAAAATTAAAATTAAGCAGTTGTTTTAAGGGAGGTGTGATATAAAGTCACTCAGCAATCAACAAGCCAGGCAGACAGACACCAATGTCTGTCCTAGGGCCAGCTCTTTAATTTAGGTGAGGTTAAGATGGATACGTGGGCCTTTGTCCAAAAGTCAAGATTAAGTGTCTATAAGACATTACTTCTTTTCTTCTGTCAACTTTTCCTGCCTGCATTTGCCCTGTATTAAACTTCCAAGATCTAAGGCAGTAGCATGAACATTGCGGCTTCCCTTCGCATGGCATTGTCTACGCCCTGTTTACACAGGAGTAGGGCAGCATTTCACTTACAGTGCTCACAATTACAGTTGGTGCTTTGTGGTTCCTGTGTGTGTGCATGAAGGTCTTATTCTTTTCCACAACACTGGGTGTGCTCTGTAACACTAGCTCTACAGTTTATCAGCCAAGAGTTTATTGGGCTTACTCATAGACTCCTGTGTGAGGGGTTAACCATAGGAGCAGGGGTGTGGTGGATTGAATGAAAATGGCCCCCAGAGACTCATAGGGAGTGGCATTATTGGAGGCATGGCCTTGTAGTAGGCATGGCCTTGTTGTAGTAGGTGTGGCCTTGTTGTAGTAGGTGTGGCCTTGTAGTAGGCGTGGCCTTGTTGGAGGAACTGTGTCACTGCCAGTGGGCTTTGCTCAGGAGCTCAAGCCAGGCCCAGTATCACTCTCTCTGCCTGCTGCCTACCATCCAGACGTAGAACTCTCAGCCTCTCCAGCACCCAGTCTGCCTGTTCACTGCCAAGCTTCCTGACATGATGATAATGGATTAAACCTCTAAACTGTAAGTCAGTACCAATGAAATGTTTTCCTTTATAACAGTTGCTGTGGTCAGGTGTCTGTCCACAGCAATAAAAGCCTAACACAATGTGTGAAGGTTCTAGGGTCATGGGTTAGGGGTTACAGGGTCATGGGTGAGGGGTTACAGGGTCATGGGTGAGGGGTTACGAGATCATGAGTGAAGGGTTGCAGGAGCATGGGTGAGAGGTTACAGGAGCATGGGTGAGGGGTTACAGGAGCATGGGTGAGAGTTTACAGGGGCATGGGTGAGGGGTTACAGGGGCATGGGTGAGAGGTTACAGGGGCATGGGTGGGGGCTGCAGGGGCATGGGTGAGGGGTTACAGGAGCATGGGTGAGAGTTTACAGGGGCATGGGTGAGGGGTTACAGGAGCATGGGTGAGAGGTCGCAGGGGCATGGGTGAGAGATCACAGGAGCATGGGTGAGAAGTCACAGGAGCATGGGTGAGGGGTTA